TTGCAGCCAATATTAGAGTTCAGAATTGACCAAAGCCTTGGTACTGAGGTTAAATTTTTCAGGCAATCTTTGTTGAACCTACTGCCCAGGCAGTTTAGCATAGCAACTTCTATTACACAGTTCTATCGGCAGCAATTCGACCACTTTCTGTCTTTGTTCCTGCATAGGATCTGTGTGTTTGTCAAATTTGAGGGTTGTACACCCCCCCCCCCCCCCCAAACCACCACCACCAACAAAAAACACAAGTAATTGTGAGTTACAATTCAAGATTATGCTAAAGGAATTCTATATTTTGACTTCATCACATGAATTCAGTATTCTGGAAATTTATGACCTTCAAGCTAACAAGGCAAGCATTGAATCTGCTACTGCTATTCAGGTTAGTCACTGACTACTTTGCTTAACCATTTATTTTGTTATTTAGAAATTCACTCTGTATATAATTTATATGAAACCACTTGCTATAATATTGCACTGCTGATTACTGGGTTAGACACTTAGGATCCATCATGGGATAAATGGATTGGTATTCTATAAGAGATCTGTATATTACCAATTAATATCCTTCCCTTTTGGTTTCAATCCATCTATCACCCTTGATGATGTAAGCAGCAAAGAACTACCTAAGCAAATGACTATAGAACGGGTGGAGAGGAGAAGTAGCACAAATGAAAGGAAGTTTATTGATTTTGTCCACTAGAAATGCATTTATAAACTCTAGCAATGGGTTCACATTGTTTCTTACCCTCTTAGCCGCAGCCTTTTTATGCTTAGATTGAACATATTTTCATCAAGGTTAGTACTCATCTGTCACAGAAGCTGAGACTGTACAATGTTGTTATAGTCATTCGATTGGGGCTTTGTTGCATGAATTGCACCTGTTGTAAAATGCTGGGACTTTACAATGTAGTTGTAATGGATTCTGATCATTGTGGATTTGAAAAATTATTGTTTTGTTGTTGTTGGATTTTATCATGGATTATAATGAGTAGGATTTTTTTGGGTTTAAAGCCAAAATGGTCTTGCTACCGTTATTAAGTTTGCATTAATTTTTTAATACAATCAACATTTTATGTGATTGAATTGGATTTATCAAACACCAAATTTCTGAGAGTACTATCTTCATCTCTCCATCTCCTCTAAAGCTCCAGTTGCACTAGACTCCATCTTCATCTTCACAAAAAAAATTTCAATGCTGGACTTCATTATCATTGTATAGAGTGAAATCCATGATACTAACAAATCATACTCATTTCGTTCTTCTAAATAAGGAAATAAGTTCGCCGTTATTAAAAAAAAAGAGGAAATAAACAGAGCGATGATAATCTTATAACTTTCATAGAAAAGATACAGAATGCTCATCTAACTTGCCATGTAATGAGATCCAAAAATCTAAGATAACTTTAAATGTTGCCTTGAAATTTCTTGGGGGAAATGAAGGGATGTTTTGGATTGATTAATGATAAATGTGGAAGAGGTTAATTGAGGATAATCTTAAAAGTCGACACCAGACCAATCAGATTGAATATAATGCAGTCCGATCCTTAGTTCATGAATTTAATGAATATTGAAAAAATGAGAATATTTGAATCGAACAAAATATAAGGATAATCTGATTCTTGATATTGCAATTTCGTTTACTAACAAATTGCAATGTTAATGGTTTGGTTGGATCCGGACCGAGTGTTTGATACCCCTAATATAATTATCAACCTAGGTATGAGTATCCGGCCAATGGGCCGGGGCACAAGCTAGTTTTATTACTACACCCTAGCGTCAAGTGCACGCTGCTCCCACCAAAATTCCCTCCCCACTACACGTACACGTGTCAGAATCGGCGGCCACGATCCACTCATCGAAAGATTATTCCCATCGCTAATATGTATACGCGAGCGCAGAAGATGGGAGAAGATAGGGTGCTAACTCTATAGGGAGTTAGCACCATACTAACTACCATCTAAACCCTCCATCTATATTTCAGATCTAACGGCTACAAATATAAAAAGAGTATAATAGCAAAACTAAATTGCAAATTTAAATATGTTTATAGCGGAAGCGGGCGGATTTTGGGGATTATCGGGCGGATTTTGGGGGGGGATTGCCATATTCGAACGGTTTCTATTCTGAATTTTGTGGCAGAATTTGTTTTCAATTTTTTCGGATTTTGAATGCAGTGTGCCGGTGACATCACCAAGTCCAGCAAAAGGCTTCTACTACTGGGAAACTAATATTACAACAATTTGATATAAAATGACTACAAATATTATTTTCCCAAAACTAAAAATCACTACTATACATACATAACAAGTAACAGAACTATTACTACATAGAACTAAAATCACTACTAAACAGACCTACTAACTTTCACTACTAAAATTAAAAACACTCCTAAACGGAGCTAAAAATCACTACTAAAATTAAACACAATACTATAGCTCCGCACACAATCATGAATCAGTACCAACCGTCACAATCACTACACACCAAGATATGAAAAACACTACTGAAGAAATAATACTACTGCCTTTGCATACTACTAGTCTTGAAAATAACTATTAATCAAGATCTAAACAAAGAGTAGGCAAGAAAGAGCCAGATCTGAAATTCTAAACCCATTCAATGTTCTGATGGATCGTTGAGTGAAAGATAGAGGGACGACCAGAGAGGAAAGGGGGGGGGGGATAGATGAAAGAGAAGGAGGGACGATTGAAAATCCCTCCAAATACCGCACAACACAGATGGGATTACCTGTGCACCTACCAAAAATGCCCTTTTAACAAACTCACCGTTAAATTGATAAAAAATAATAAAAGAACGAAAATGGAATTAGTTATTACGGTGCTAACGATGGTGAACAACCCCAAGGTCTACTTCGACATGACCGTCAGCAACAACCCGGCAGGCCAGATCGTTATGAAGCTGTTCGCGGGAACGATGCCACGGACAGCGGAGAATTTCCGGGCGCTGTGCAAGGGCGAGAAGGGGGTGGGAAGGTCATGCGGGAAGCCACTCCACTTTAAGGGGTCGAAATTCCGCCGCGTGATCCCATGGTTTATGTGCCATGTTATGAGAGAGAAAATGTTTTTATTTTACTTCATCAAACGGTAAAAATTACATTGTTTGTTATTACACTTATACCTGTCCAAATAAGCTAATTACAAAACAGTGCATATACAATAAGTAAATATTACATATGGTCCTACATTAATCCTAATTTACATTATACTCCAACACCCCCTCTCAAGATGGAGCATGAATGTCGAGAAGATTCAGCTTGGACTTCAAACCTGTAAAGACTGCGGTAGGCAAAGACTTGGTAAAAAGATCAACTAGCTGGTTAGTTTTGGAAATATGCAGCAGCTTTATTAAACCTGATGAAATTTTATCACGAGTTAAATGACAATCAAGTTCAATATGTTTAGTCCGTTCATGTGCTACCGGGTTTTCAGCCATACGAATAGCCGACTGACTATCGGAGTACATAAGTGATGGAGAAGTAAAAGATACACCTAAAGTAGCAAAAACAAAATGTAGCCATTGAATCTCACACGTCAAATCTGTCATGGCCATGTACTCTGCCTCAGTAAATGATCTGGATATGGTTTGATGTTTCTTCGATCACTCATCGAAAGATTATTCCCATCGCTACTATGTATACGCGAGCGCAGAAGATGGGAGAAGATAGGGTGCTAACTCTATAGGGAGTTAGCACCATACTAACTACCATCTAAACCCTCCATCTCTATTTCAGATCTAACGGCTACAAATATAAAAAGAGTATAATAGCAAAACTAAATTGCAAATTTTAATATGTTTATAGCGGAAACGGGCGGATTTGGGGATTATCGGGCGGATTTTGGCGGAATGTCGTTACCGAACGGTTTCTATTCTGAATTTGGTGGCAGAATTTGTTTTCAATTTTTCGTATTTTGAATGCAGTGTGCCGGTGACATCACCAAGTCCAGCATAAGGCTTCTACTGCTGGAAAACTAATATTGCAAAAATTTGATACAAAATGACTACAAATATTATTTTCCCAAAACTAAAAATCACTATTATACATACATAACAAGTAACAGAACTATTACTACATAGAACTAAAATCACTACTAAACAGACCTACTAACTTTCACTACTAAAATTAAAAACACTCCTAAACGGAACTGAAAATCACTACTGAAATTAAAAACACTACTATAGCTCCGCACACAATCATGAATCAGTACCAACCTTCACAATCACTACGCACCGAGATATGAAAAACACTGCTGAAGAAACAATACTACTACCTTTGCATACTACTAGTCTTGAAAATCACTACTAATCTAGATCTAAACAAAGAATAGGCAAGAAAGAGCCAGATCTGAAATTCTAAACCCATACGATGACGATGCAGGTGAGGAAGCGCGAAGACCGCGCCGATATAGACAATGGCACAGGCGAGGCTGAAGTTGACGACGGCGAGCAGGCGATACTGTTGTAAATGATGATGACGCAGGCGAGGACGGTGGAGGCCACCCATATGCAGACGATGGCGGCGTAGGTGAGGCTGAAGCAGATGATGACGCAGTCAAGGCCAATTCGGACGACGGGGATAACGGAGGCGGCAAGGGAGAAGCAATCGACGACGGCAAGTCTTTTCAATTTTCTGACTGATCGTTGAGTGAAAGAGAGAGGGACGACGAGAGAGAAAAAGGGGGGGGGGGAGAAAAAATAGATGAAAGAGAAGGAGGGACAATTGAAAATCCCTATAAATACCGCACAACACAGGTGGGATTACCTGTGCACCTACCAAAAATGCCCTTTTAACAAACTCGTCGTTAAATTTATAAAAATAATAATAAAAGAACGGAAATGGAATTAGTTATTACGATGTTAACTTAATTGATTGTTAGCATCCCATCCCATCCCACAGAGGATCGATCAATCAACTCAGGCAAAGAGGGGTGAAAACCCTAAATCCCCTTCAAATTTCAATCCATCTCTTCCGCAGTCTAACAATGGCGAACAACCCCAAGGTCTACTTTGACATGACCGTTGGAAACACCCTGGCAGGCCAGATTGTGATGAAGCTGTTTGCGTGCACGATGCCACGGACAGCGGAGAATTTTCGGGCGCTGTGCAAGGGCGACAAGGGGGTGGGAAGGTCATGCGGGAAGCCGCTCCACTTTAAGGGGTTGAAATTCCCCCGCGTAATCCCATGGTTTATGTGCCATGTTATGAGTGAGAAAATGTTTCTATTTTACTTCATTAAACGGTAAAAATTACATTGTTTGTTATTACACTTATAACTGTCCAAATAAGCTAATTACAAAACAGTGCATATACAATAAGTAAATATTACATATGGTCCTACATTAATCCTAATTTACATTATACTCCAACACCCCCTCTCATGATGGAGCATGAATGTCCAGAAGATTCAGCTTGGACTTCAAACCTGTAAAGACTGTAGTAGGCAAAGACTTGGTAAAAAGATCAGCTAGCTGGTTAGTTTTGGAAATATGCAGCAACTTTATTAAACCTGATGAAATTTTATCACGAGTTAAATGACAATCAAGTTCAATATGTTTAGTCTGTTCATGTGCTACGGGGTTTTCAGCCATACGAATAGCTGACTGACTATCGGAGTACATAAGTGATGGAGAAGTAAAAGATACACCTAAAGTAGCAAAAACAAAATATAGTCATTGAATCTCACACGTCAAATCTGTCATGGCCATGTACTCTGCCTCAGTAAATGATCTGGATATGGTTTGATGTTTCTTCGATCTCCACGAGATCAAGGCCTTACCCAAAAACACACAAAACCCTGTAGTAGAACGCCTAGAATCTGGACATCAGCCCAATCACTGTCTGAAAAAGTCTTTAAAACAAAATCAGATGTAGTAGGAAAATATAAACCTAAACCAGGACTACCTTTGGTAGTGTAAGACCCTATGAACAGCTTGCAAATGAATATTAGTAGGATTGCTCATGAACTGTGTTAGTTGATGGATACCAAAAGCAATATCTGGTCGTGTTACACAAGTATAATAACCTGCCTACTAATCTTTTATAAGTTGATCCATCAGTTAAGGGTATATCGTTCTTATTACAGAGACGAATTCCAGGATTGCATGGATTAAGGACAGGTTTGGCAGCAAGCAAACCAGAATCAAAAAGTAAATCAATGACATATTTACGTTGGCATACAGAAATACCAATCGAATTTCGGGCAATTTCTAGGTCAAGAAAGTATTTAACATGTCCAAGATCTTTTATCTTAAAAGTAGAGTCAAGAGCAGACTTAAGTGATTCAATTTCAGTTAAGAAATCACCAGTCATAATCACATCATCAACATAGACTAAAACAGCCAAAAACTTACCCTTGTCATGCTTTGTAAACAGTGAATAATCGGCTTTGGATTAATGATAACCAACATTTAACAAAAACTCAATAAGCTTGTGATTCCATTGCGTACATAAGGAATTCTCATGTACACATCTTCATCTAATTCACCATGTAGAAAAACATTATTTATATCAAGTTGATACAAATCAGGTTTTGATACCATGTTATGAAAGAGAAAATATTTCTATTTTACTTCATCAAACGGTAAAAATTATATTGTTTGTTATTACACTTATACCTGTCCAAATAAGCTAAATTACAAATCAGTGCATATAAAATAAGTAAATATTACATATGCTCCTACATTAATCCTAATTTACATTATAGTCCAACATGTCAGAGCGGCGATTTTACCGCCGGGGGTGGGGGTGGTCGATCTACAAGGCGAAGTTCGCCGACGAGAACTTCATCAAGAAGCACACGAGGTCGGGGATCCTGTCGATGGCGAACGCGGGGTCGGGGACGAACGGGTCGCAGTTCTTCATATGCACGGACAAGACGAAGTGGCTGGACGGAAGCACGTGGTGGAAGGGATTGATGTGGTCAAGGCTAATGGTGGGCAATAGGCGGGTAGGGTGTTTTTGGTCTCAAATTGACCCACCCGCTTATAAGCGAGTTGGAATAATTGTGACCCGCAATCCACCCACATACCTCTGCGGGTTGGGTTGGGTGGGTGGCGAATGGTTGCGGTTGGGTCGTGGGTCAACCCGCAAAAGCAATTCTCTAACTAGCCATTAAGAAAGTTGACTAACATTTATAATAAGTTCATAGCAATTTTTTTTTTAGGGAAAGTTCATAGCAAATTAGTAAGACTGTATCTGTGATTTTGATACAATTAATAATTTATAGTTTGCATCCCAATATTTAATTGATATTAACAATAATTTGCATACAAATATCCAATATCTAATTATATTGCACAACACAAAACCAATAATAGTAGTTAAAACTATTCTCTATTCTTCACCTTTTGAAGTATATGGTCAGACTGTAGTGCAGTTCGAAAATATGAATATTATATGCTATAAGAAACAACATTTTTTCATGTAAAAATAGGATGTGCGTCATGCGGGTGACCCGCAATCCACCCACCACCCACACACATAAGTGCGGCATGGTCCATGAAACCGTACTGTACCGACGGTTCAACCACAAAATACTAGTATCGGAGGCTAAACCGATAGGCGGTATTTAACAGTACTAATAGTTGAACTACGGTTAAACCGCGATTTTTCCATAAAATACCTTACCGCTGACTTTTTCGATACGGTTTCATGGACCATGAAGAGCGGGTTGAAGATTTATCAATCTGTAATCCACCTACATCAATACCATTACGTGCGAATCGGGTTATTTGAGGATGGATCGATATCAATCCGTGGATTAACCACCCACATGCCCACCTATTAAGGCGATTGCGCAGGTCGGGCCGGGCCGCTAAGCATATTGTGATCGCCGACTGTGGTCTGCTCTCTTGAGAAAAAAAAATAAAGATTGACTGACATGCGCGGTAAAGAAAATAGAAGTGTTCATTTGCTGACCAAGTCAAGGCTTTTGTCGCTAGCTGTCTTTGGTCTGTTGTTTCGGTTATCTCCTCATTTTACCTCCCCCGGGTTCTTGTGTAATTACTGTGTGGTTAATTCGCGATATTTTTACCGTGCATGTTTTATGGAAATAATTAGTCAATGATGGTAATCTATGCTAGTAATTATTAATGACCAAGATTGTCAATCCGCGGGCTGATTTGGACCAGGTCAAACTAGTGGGTCAAGGGTTAATGGGTCACTCGTTTTAGCCCAGAAATATGGAAAGAGTCATTATATTGTACTTATCCTGATAAATTATATCAAATATCATCTAACATGCGAGTTATAACATATAATATTACACCAAAATAATATGTCGTACTTAGATCCAACATCTAGTGAAAATTCACACACACTTATATAACATCAATATTCAAATGTTCAACTTAGGATTTCAAAGATTGAGTTAGGCAAAAAGAAAAATAAAAAAATAGGCGCATTTCGCAAACCAAAGAAAAAAATGACACAATTTGACCTCCAACCCGGTATCTTTTAGCGGTCGACCCAATAGGTGCGTGCAACTCGTTTTTCTTACCGGACTAGAGTCAAAGTGGGTTGACCCGCAGGTTAACAACCTTGCTAATCACCATGCTTGCCTTTAGACCTTAGTGGCTCTAGTGTCTACCAAAACGAAAATGATATAAGAAAGTAAGAACAATGTTGATGGAATCTCTAATGTGTACCGTGATACTTTAACATACTTTGCGATCTTTCCACTCAATTGATTTTCACCAAGATGGAAAGTAGGTAGTTTGATTAAAAATATTAATATGCATTTTTTATATATTTTTCAGGAAATTTTTGGACAACTTGTATCACATTCTACCTCCTAATTTTAATTTGGATTTAAAAATAAATTGCATAAAGGAAACAGTTTGATTTTAATCTAGAAAATAATATTCGTTTAACATATATTTCGAGGAATTTTTTCCAAATCATTTATGTCATCTACCATACTGTCGCTATCTAACGTCGTCTACCACCATCCTTTCATTATGGTATATCTCTATCACCATATACCTCTATCAGAATCTATGGTATATTCCTATAATCTTATGATGAATGGAAATATAATCCGATTTGTTTTATAATTGAAAACAAAGTATATTGAATACCATTCGTAATTCGAAATAATCGCAATGGGCAATCGATCAATTGAATAAATCCGAGTCTGCTTACGAAAAGTGGAAATGGAGGCAGATCAATTTCAAACAAATGGGTACTATGAGAGATAGAACGAAAAAAATAATGATAATATTTTGTACTACTATAAACACTATAATAAAAATATTCATTTAAAGGTTTATTTTCTGTTCTAAAATATATCAAATTATGTTATTTTGTTAAAAAATGTATATAATTTTTTTTTGTAAAAATAAAAATGTGATTTAAAATCATGTTGCATCTTAGTAGGAGAATAATTATGTAGGGAAGGAACATTAAGACCCTACAAGCTGAAATTGATCGGGCGAAGCTTATTCATCCGATAAACTGGGAGGAGGTCAGGGGTCTGGAGACTGAATTGAATAGGCAATGGGAAGCGGAGGAAGCCTATTGGCAACAAAAGTCCAGAGTCCATTGGCTCAAGAAAGGTGATAAGAATTCCTCTTACTTTCATACGGTGACCCGTGTACGTCGAAAACGGAATTTTTTGGCGGGTCTATACAGTAATGAAGGGGACTGGGTTACTGAGGAGAAAGGAAAAGCTGACATTGCAAGCGATTTCTATCAGCGTTTATTTTCGTCGGAGTCTCAAGTTCATAACATGGAAGCTCGTATTGCTGCTCTCCCGATTGATTGCAAAGTTTCTATGGCGATGAATGACTCCCTTACGGCGGAAGTACTTCCTGAGGAAATCCGTCGAACAGTTTTTTCAATGGGGTCCAAGCAGGCTCCCGGATCCGATGGGTTTACCGGAAATTTTTTTAAAGCTTTTTGGGATATAGTGGGGGCTTCGGTGATTGACGATGTTGGGTCCTTCTTTAGGAAAAGCAGGATGCTCCGCAGCTTTAATCATACTTGGCTCACGCTGATTCCTAAGGTGGACAACGTGGAGAATATGAAGCAACTTAGGCCCATTAGCCTATGCCAGTTTGTGTATAAAATCATTGCCAAAATTATGGCAGAAAGGCTGGCTCATTATTTGCCCCAAATTATCTCCGAAGGACAAAATGCTTTTATCCGGGAACGGCACATTGTGGAGAACATTCTGATTGGCCATGAGTTAATGCATTTTTTGAAAATTAAAAAGCAGGGTAAGAAAGGGTACATGGCTCTAAAGGTTGACATGGAAAAGGCCTATGACAGGGTTGAATGGCCTTTTCTCCTTGCGATTTTGAAAAAATTAGGCTTTAACTCGGTTTGGTGTGAATGGGTTCATGAATGTCTCCGATCGTCCTCTTTCTCCGTTCTGATGAATGGCACCCCCGCTGGCTTCTTTACCCCGTCCTGGGGACTAAGACAGGGAGATCCGCTTTCCCCTCTGCTTTTTGTTCTTGGTACGGAGGGCTTTGCGGCCCTCATCCGTCAGGCTATTGCGGAGGGTAAGCTGGAAGGGGTAAAGGTGGCCCCCGGGCACCTAGGATTTCGCATTTGTTCTTTGCTGATGATTCTTACTTGTTTCTCCGAGGCTCGCTCCAAGAATGTGAAAATTTGATTGACGTTCTCAATACCTATGAGGAGCTCAGTGGCCAAAGAGTTAACCTGGACAAGTCCGCGGTCTGTTTCAGTAAGAATGTTTTGCCGCCTGATCAGGAATTTATTGCGGCGGTGTTGGGGGTTGGGGCGGTAGGGGTCCAGGATAAATATCTGGGTTTGCCTTTGTTGTTTGCCCGGTCAAAAATGGCCACTTTTCGGTTCCTCGAAGAGAAGCTGCTCGGCCGACTTCAGGGGTGGAAACAAAGGACTCTGTCTTGGCAGCTAAAGAGACTTTGATCAAATCAGTCGCTTTAGCCTTACCGCTGCATAGGATGTCTTGTTTTAAGTTGCCTCTGTCCCTTTGTCGGCTCTTGGATAGGCATGTTGCCAGGTTTTGGTGGGGTGTGGAAGGTGGCCGGTCGCGAATTAGATGGGTATCCTGGCGTACGATGTGCACTAGTAAGCATGATGGTGGGATGGGTTTCTGCAGGTTTGAGCACTTTAATCAGGCATTGTTGGCCAAGGTTGGGTGGCAAATTTTGACGGAACCTCATTCCCTTCTGGCGCAAATCTACAAGGGTAAATATTTCCCGCGTGGAGAATTCCTATCGGCTACTGCCAGGTCTCGCCCTTCTATGGGATGGCAGAGTATCCTCTATGGGCGTCAATTGCTTACTCAAGGATTACGGTGGCAAATTGGTAATGGTCGGGCTGCCCCTCTCCTTTCTGAGAGTTGGGTCCCGCTTCTTCATCCTAAGGCCCCGACCTTTAATCCGCAGGTCTTACCGCCGGGGGGGAACCCGACGGTGGACTCTGTGATCTGTCAAGGGGAGGGCAAGTGGAATGATGAGCAGCTCAGTCGTTGGTTTGACCCCGTTACTTGTCGTGCAATTAAAGCAATCCCTCTTCCACGTGAGGATATTGATGATAAATTGGTGTGGCATGAAACATCTGATGGTGTGTTTACGGTGAAATCGGCCTACCATCTTGCGGTATTGATTGATAAACAAGGTGGCCGATGGAGGTCGAGTGCGTGCTGGATGGACAAACCTAGCTGGATTTTCCTATGGAACGCCAACATCCAGCCTAAGCTTAAGGTGTTTTTGTGGCAGGTGTTCCGTCGCATTCTCCCAACTACTGAGGCGTTGATTGATAAGGGTGTGGAAGTGTTGCCAAGATGTCCGGTGTGATGGGCGGAGAAAGAGACGATGGAACATCTGTTTCTCGATTGCCCTGTAGCTCGTGCTCTTTGGGATCTTTCTGGTCTTGAGTATCTGGGTCAAGGGGTGCCTCGGCATAATTTCCCACTGTTCCTGAGGAAGCTGATGACCCAAATTAATCAGCCCAATTTATTTGTGGCGGTGGTAGCCCTCCTGTGGCGGATTTGGCGATCCCGTAATTGGGTTGTTTTTTAGGGCAAGCAGTTTGGGATCCCTTCGCTTATGCGCCAATTTCATCATCAATTCCAGGAATGGATTGCTCTTCCCGTTGAAAAAAGTCTGAGTACTGCTTGTC